TTTTTTTTAAGTAGCGACGGCTGCATCACCTTCTAGCCGCTTCTTCTTGACCTTGTAATAGGCCTAACTTTGAACTTTAATTGTGGCAAACTTACTGCTTATTTTTGAAATTTGATTGCAAATCATTTTAGAGACACTGGCTAAAGCAATGCCTACCTCCTCTTTTCGCGATTTTTCTAATAGAGTTTTGTTAAATGGTTACTTCCTTTTCACCCTCGGACTTTTCGAAAAAATGTAAAAACCTCCTTTTTACGAAATTTTGTATAGGTGGAATAATTGCCACGTCCTCCACTCTCGTGGGCGGTAATTTATCATCCGATTTGGATGAAATTTAGTTTGTACTAGAGATGGGCGCGTGGGTGATTTTAACTCACGTTTCCGCTCGCTCACGTTGATGGTTTTATAAATAATTGTGCGTTATTTTTTTTACAAATTTCAGGTATATGTATGTAATCATAACTTTAAAATACTCACATTTGGAAAAGATTTTTAGTTCGATTTTTTAGAAATATTTTGAGTAAATTGAAAGTAGCTCCGACTTACCTTTGATTTTTGGGATTTTTTTTTGTTGAAGGTATTGCTCATTTTCTCCATATAAAAAAACGACGAACATACTTTGTATGGAAGAAAATGACTGACATCGACTGCAAAAAAATTGCCAAAAATCAACGGTAAGTCGAAGCTACCTCAAACGTGCCACTTTATTATACTAAAATTAACGGGGCTACAAAACCTGCATACTAAAAATATTTATAAAAAAATATATATAATTAAAAAGATCGATATTTGTATAATCGAGGTTTTCACCAAGCAACCGCATACATATGTCTTTCTTCTAGAATACTGCCTGACACAGGGAAAAAAAACTCTTTCACTAGTGCTGGGCTGCTGGTATGTTTGAAATTAGCCTTGAAAAGCTTCTAAGAAGTGCAATTCTTAAGCTTTCTTCCAAAATTTTAAAACATGGTGACTACTTCGATTTCCTGTTTTTTAATAAATCTTTATTTTCGCATTAATGTCTTAATTTTTAGTTAAAAAATGCATATGGTCGATATTTTTGCAAAACCGCCTATATTACGACACTCAAATTTTACAGGAGAGCGAAAAAACGGTTTTTCTTTAAAGGCATTAGGAGTGTACTCGCACGCCCAGCTATCTAAAGTTTTAGAAAACTTTTACTGGTTTTGCTTTCTCGTACCCAAAAAACTTGCAAAGAAGGGAAATTGAGAGAGCAAAATGTGAAAGAGAGCTGCGAATTTCTGCTGGAAAAATTTTCCCAGCAAAAACTTGCAAGTAAGAAAATCAGCTGATCACAAACACATGTTTGCATATAAAGAAAAGAAAATATGGCCTTTTGGAGTTATTTATAGCAAATTTTATTGTTAATGCTAGTATACAACGAAAAACTGAGTAAGTTTAATATGCACAACGTTTGTTGTGTTTATTTTTCGCTAATTTGCTATTAATCTCCAGTTAGTTTACTTTAGTGTGTGCTGACTATAGTTGCCATATGACATTTTTCGTTTGTACCATAATTTTCCTTTAAATATACCAAAATAGATTTAAATGCAGCATGCTGAAATGTTTTCTTGCTGAAGGTTTCGGCTTTGGTAGGTTGATTGTCGAAATGAAAATTTTATAATTTTAAAGCTACATCTGTAGCTATATCTTTACATTTTTTTTTTAGCAATGATGGGTGTTTGAAGGAGATACACTTATTTTTGAATGCATCACTATATGATATCACAAATAATTATGAGAAAAATAATTTATTCATTCCGATATAATTAATTTGTATTTTAAAAAGGTTTTTCTTATCCAAAACCATTCAATTATATAAAAAGCCAAATCGAGGGAAAATGTACCAAGCAGAAAATAAATTGCCAAATTAATCACCAGTGGCAACTGTGCAAATGATCAGCTGTTTCGGAGGTTGCAAGTATTTGCAAATTTTGCGGTCTCGTACTTCTGTTGCTATTTCGTCTCTTTGAGAGCGAATGCTGCTAAATTCTCAGAACTTTTGCTGTTGGAAAATTTTGTCCTCTCAACACCTATTGCCTTCAGAGGCGGTATTTTCTCTAGCTATTATTTTACAAATCTTTTGTTTTAATAACGATTTTATTGGGGTATTCACAACGGTGTCGTAAGTGTAGTATTGTTGTATGTCGTAATCTTGCCCGGAGTTCAGGGTTACAAATCTCATTTTTGCCACAACGGCGATTTAGGCGGGTTTTGCAACTCGTCGATGGGCGGTTTTGCAAAACCATCGACGATATGTTTATGTATGTAAAAATTACGTCAGCAACGCTCACGTGTGAAAAAGGATGACACAACGTGTGACGTAGAAAATCACGAGTTTTGCCCATCTCTAGTTTGTACTCTCTTTTGTTAGAAAACGTTAAATATAAAATATGGGGAGTATTGGTACAACGCCCAAAACTCACAAAAAATGAGGACCCAGTTCAGGAATGATGCGCCCATAAGAGGATTTTTGAGCGTAATTTTTGCGTCACGTAATTTTTGTGCGACTGCGAGAGGACGAAGGAAAAAATGTTAACAATGCGGAAAAATGTTTTAATACCAAAAAATGAAATTAGCTGATTTAATGGGTTAAGCGCCAAAGACAACTAAACTGTCGGTACCGCGCCATTCGTGGAGAGGGGGGTAAGTAAATTATGTGAAATTTTGTATTTATGACTTTTACTTTCCCCTCTTTAAGCCCAACTCAAAGCGAATTTATCTAAGGTGGTGTTACTAGATCACCTGATTTTGTGTATGTTTCGCCTCACGGCTTCTAATGTCACATTGAAAAATTTTGTTTGCATTTCCACACACACTCTTTTAGCTGAAATAGATTGCCGGCGAACTCACCACAGCGATATTCGCGCTGTCAAAATTAGAACACCCGCAAGCATATGAAATTGAACACAGCCAAACGAAATGCGAAGTTCGCTCGGCGGCGTTTCATGGCGATAGATTTATTTCTATCGCCCTGCTGGGCGATGACAACTGTACGTGCCAAAGGTATTTCTTTTTCGCTTTCACAGTTTTATAAGAAAACAACATAAACACGAACTATTTTTGTTGTTTGAAAAATATAGTTGTGGACTCATTAAATCTGGATTGAAATAAAATAATTTACAATAAGCTCTCTTTGTTTTACATTTATATTTGTTATCATTTCCTCATTTGTAAATATGGTTTAGTTTTTCTAAATATGGTCACTCAAATTATAAAGGCGACCAAATGGTAGCAGCTGTTTTCGCTACCGCTTTTGACAGTTTACGCCGCCAAATCAAAAACAAAACACATGTAAATTTTTGTTTTTGTACTCCTGCTATCACCTTGTGTTAATTCGCTTTGTCACCATGACTTTTTGCTACCTACCTCCATATAGTCGAAACACTGTGCAACGGATGAATAAATTTGATTTGTTATACTAATATCTAGAGCCAAGAATGATAGAATACAAGATTGCGCCCATCAGAGAGGATTTTTGAGAATAACTTTTGTGTGACGTCACACTGGTGCAAGTGCGCGAGAGAAATGCCAAAACGTGAGCAATAATGGAAGAAGAAGAAAAATGTTGCAAGGAAAACGTAAACAAGTTGCACAAGTGTGATGTCATACAAACCACGATTCTGTCAAATTCACTGAGAGAGGAATAGCGGTACCGTGATGGGCGCAACCTCTATTTCTCTCAATCGTGATCTAGAGCAACATTTTAATTCACTATGCACACTGGCAAATAAAAACGCCAAATTAATGGTCTAAAAGTATGATCAAATAGTAAAATACAAACCTCATTCGAGACTTCTTCGTCTTCTTTCCGCTTTGAGGCCTCATCACTGGTCTTCGCCTGTTCATTATCGTTTTCCTTCGCTTCGCCTTTATGAAATATACATTTGTATTAGTTAGCCAACTATAAACTTCCATTATTTAAAAAGTTTTGTGTTTACCTTCATCCTTTCTGCTCTCCGAGTCGTTTTCGCCTGTTTCGTCATCTCTCTTATCTTCTTCGTTTTGCTCTTTCTGTCGTTGGACCACAATAAATTATGATAAGTCGATAAGTTTTTTTTGTTATAAAAAATGCAAATGCTGCAAGCGGCGCAGTTTTGTTATCATTGCAGAGATCGCGGCAGCTTATAAGTTTTTCATGCATTCGTCAATAAGCCCAATACATTTGAATATTTATGCACGCAACACATAATATGCGCGTTCCTTATCTCCCAGAAATAGTCAGAAAAAGTCCGAAGTAGTCAGATTTAGTCCAAAAAGCGTTCCTTAACTCGGAAATGACAGCAAAAATGAGAGAGCAACAGTCAGTGAGAGCGACTCTCATCAGTCCGAAGTAGTCAGATTTAGTCAGAAGAATTTTTTCTGGCAAAATCCTGAAAAGTGTCAAACTCAACTGAATTTAAATTAACGGAAATTAAAGAATACGCAAAAAGTGAGAATAATCTAAAAAGTAAAAGAAATGAATTGAAATTGGAAGGAGGCAAAAAATAATTGATATAGCAAGTGTTTATTGTGCTTGTGCTTGTGTGAATGTGTTTTGTACATACATTTCTGTTCTTATTTGACGTTAGTTTTGTTGTTGCCATTCTTTGGACTAAAAATTTGGTTTTTTGCGTTCCTTTACTTTTCCTGTTACTCTCTTTTAGTGAGCGCATTTTGCTTACGCTCTGGCATTTTGACACTTTTCAGATTTTAGTCCAAAAAGATAAGGAATGAACCTTATAGTTGTGTTTAATGAGACCGAAAAAAAGTTCAGAGCAGCTCAAGCAGAATCGAGCAGATGTCAAAAAAACAATAAAGCAAGTTAGAGCAACTCAGTTCGCAAATCTCATGAAACAATTTTCAGGCGGAAATTCTCAAAACGGTTGCTTGCTCTAAGTTACTCCTTCAAAAAAGCTGGTGCAGAAAATCGTGCTCTATGTTGCTCTAGTTCCACTTAGCGCAAGCTCCTGAAACAAAAACTAGAGTAAGGTAGAGCAAGAAAAATCCTCATGAAACACAATTTTGTGAGATATCTTAACCTGGCGTAACCTAGAGCAGCTCATTAACAACTTATCCCTGCCTGCAATTTGAAGAGAATTTTATCGCCTGTCGCTACGATACCATGTACCATGATTCAATAATCTTGACGATGCAAAACTCGAATGTCACTAATGAGCAAACCTTTAATTGAATAATGATGACGATGTCCTACTTCGTCACTATTTGATGTTTACAATGGGGTGGTATCTCATTTCAGAAAAACAAAAAACATTTCTATCTATTTCTTGACAGGTTATCGCACGATTTTTATTTTGCAACACTCAAAAAGTGATGGGAATGAGACCAATTGCATTCATTAAAAAATGTCAAAATATGAATCAATACCAAATCATTTGTAAAAGTTGGTTCGCATTTCCTTTTTATATCGATTTGAAGTTGTGAATTTAAGGTTCAAAAATAAAAATTGCAAACGTTTAATTTCGTTTTACGCCAAAATAGATTAAAAAAAAATTACAATTAAAGTGAATGTATTTACGCGCATCAAATTGTGATTGTTTTTATTTAAATTTCTGTCTTTATTTGAAAGTTTGTTTTGCGATTGCCGGATGAATTACATTTATACACGAAATTATATGTCCGTGGCATATTTGTAGGGATTTTATTAAAAAATTAAATGGCAGCATGATTCTCTCACGGCTCTCTCTGCACTTAGAAATTTAACTTAGATATCAAAAATATATATTTCTCCAAGTTTCTAAGTGAAGTTTTTTTTTTGGGTAACTACATACACGCGCTGCTCATTTGCCAGATATAAAATTTTCAAGGCAAGTCATGTCTAAGTCTTGCATAACTGAGCTTTAAATTACAAATGAACCGTAAATTGCGATAATGTGAACATGCTTTGTGTTTTTTTAATTTTTGATTTACAGTGCCAAAACTGAAATTAACTGCAGAACGAGAATTAAAAAGCACTGTGAAAACGGAGCTAATGCTCGTTTGAAAGGGGATAATTCACGCGTTAATGCAAATAAAGGCTTCTTATGCAAATAAACACAGCCTCATCATTTTAGTATTTTTTGAGAAAAGGTTGGCTTAATNGGATAATTCACGCGTTAATGCAAATAAAGGCTTCTTATGCAAATAAACACAGCCTCATCATTTTAGTATTTTTTGAGAAAAGGTTGGCTTAATCACTAACGGCTAAAGCGGCTAAAGTATACTTTTACGAATATGAGCCAATCCAACGCATTCTTTGATGATACAGAATCCTAAGTTTTACAGCATAATGTTTATTTGTGAAAACTTTAATTAATTTGATTTACCGAAGTATATTTTGCTTGTTGGGTAGTTGAAGAGCATATCTCTCATCTTCCTCGTTTCCTTTCAACACATTTCTTGAGTGCATAAAAATTAAACTTGATAAAAAGTTCTAATTTTACCGATTTTCAGTTTAAGAAGTTTTGGTTGAAATAACCTTTACATTGCTTTAATTTTAGGGACTTTAGAGAAATGGCACCCAAGGAAAAGTTTAGTATAGTTAACATTGGTAGTCAATTAGTTTGCCTATAATAAAATATGCTTAGCACAATCTGCCTTAAATTATGATTAATATTAAAGTAAATATGTATGTTCACATAAAAAAGCTGGCGCAAGCACTTCAGCAGTTTTGGTTTTAATATTAGGGGTATTCTCTGAGTCTTTCAAAGCCCTTGAACGTTGCACAGATTGCAATCCGTGCACACTCAGATAATACCCCTATTATCTATACAACTTATATTTATAACCTTGTCGGTGCAAACGAAAACAAATACACAAACTATCCAAATCCTAACCGCTAGCATTGAAAAAAAAAATTAAACATCGCACATAGTACAACCGGTCAAACTTATTTGATTTGTTTTTCTATTAAGAGATAAAATAAAACATTTATACATCAGATACCACAAAAAAGGTTTTATGTCGTTTTTCAGTTTGGTTCTAGTTTCCGAATAATTGCGAATTTTTCAGAATTTTCAGTTGCTGAAATATTGATGCTTTTTCAATTACAAGAAAAAGAATGCGGTACAATGTTCTAAGCGTTACTGTCCAGTTTCATAGTTTTTCAAAGGACCTTCCGAGGAGTCTGAACTTTGACGACATATAATTCGGTAAACCTCGGTTCACTGCTCCTACCAAGGCATTTCTATATTTTCAATTTTTTTTTTACAGATGAAGAAAAAAGTAGGGAAAAATATACGATTTGTACATACGTACATATATATTTTGGGCCGTATGCATAAAAACTAAGCATTTTTTTCTTCTTAAAATTTCCTACCTTTCACTCAAATTTGAACAAATCGAGTAAAAGTTCTGAAATTTTAAGAAAAATCATTTGCTTAGGTTTTATGCCTGGCAATCACCATTCGATCGTTATGTAATTTTTACCAAATTAAAGGGTGGACGGAGGCACAGATTTTTAATTAATCGCGCATCGATTCTCCTTACAACTAGACGTTAGACATTTCTGCTTGAAACCACTTCTGAAGGATCTTAAACTTCGATTTTAAATAGCAGAAAAATGCAGACGTAGGTGGACAATTTCATAATAAAATTACTGTTATTTGAAATTACTGCTAAAAATATATATGTACATATGTATGAACATATCGCTCATTTACTTCAATAGTTTCATAATCCAAAAAATCCAAAAATTGAGCCAAATATGCAGAAATGACCGCGAGCGCTAGTAATAACGAATGAAATAAATGCAGCCATTGAAAGCGCACAAAAAACAATTATCACAAAAATGGCTACGTCTATTTTACGTACGTAAAAGATGAGGTGGTGGTGGGGACTTATCGAAGTTGATAAATCTCTGGGCTCGAATCGTTACAGTCGTGAACTATCAAATCGTCACGTAAAAATACATACTTACATATTTCGAATTACGAGACGAGCAGTACGTTCACGACTGTTATAATCCGAAATAGGCATTTTTACGTGACGAGTTGATCCTTCATAACTGATACGATTCGAGCCATGGGCTGACTGACGACTGGGGTATCACATAATTTTCTTTCGTATGGAATAGGATGAAGAGCACGTTCACGTATGTCATAATCCGAAAAGTGTTTCTACGTGACGAGTAATACGATATCCTATGTGACGATGCGAGCCCTGGGCTCATCATAAACATTTATACATTTAGTAGTCCACAAAATAATAGGAGTGCGATATTTTGTCCAGTTTTGGCTATTTGGCTTTTGTTTATTTAATGTTTATTTTTTTTTATAAAAGTCTAGCTTGTTGTACAACAAACACCAAACATTATACAAAAATTATAAAAATTCTGCAAATTTTCACCAAAATTTCAAAATTTTTAATCAGAACCTTTAGAAAAATTTTTTAGCCTAGTATAATGGATTGCAAGTTTGAAGATGCTACAAAATCCTGTTGACTTTTGGCTTTTTTTTTTGCTGACAATGTCCTCTATACAAAAGAAAATTGTCGAACATACTTTGTATGAAAAAATTCTCAAAAATCAACGGGATTTGTTACGAACTTGAAACTTCCACTTCATTATGCTAGAAATAAATGGGCTACAAAGAGTAAAAGTTTATATGGCGCTTGTTGTATAAGGGCCATTGCATTGTGACTGATGGGATATTCTACTCCGGAATGTGATCAATTTTGAATTACAACTATGTAGTCGGACCTATACAACAACAAACGATATTTTTTAACATAGAACGATAACTAATGTACAATTGCTTTAGCACGATTTCTTAATTTTATGTAACTATCATTTGAAGGAATGTGCCTGGGGGACACTGAAAATAACTCTATTTTACCTTTGTGCACTCAACGATTAATTTTAGCCGAAACGCTTAATTTTCAATAACGATATTTTTGTGTTTTCAATAAAAATTAAACTTAAATAATCTGCATACAGCCAATTTCAAGAAAGTCATTTATGTGAAAATTATTTTTAGTTTTTTGAATTGTATATGGAAATTGACAGAAAATAAAAAATCATTTTACATTTAAATTACTGGTGAAACTGGCTGATAGAATATTAAAAAAAAGATATTTATATTTGTGGGACTTGTCCTTGTGACTGGTGGGATTATACATGAATAAAAGTTTCCGTAGACAAAAATTACACCTTATTTTTATTTGTTCAATATTTTTTAACAGATAAATGAAATGTAGTCACCTAAAACGAGGTTTCTATTGAAATGGAGATATATAAACGATTTCATTATGAACTTCACAGAAACTTTTTCATAGTTACAGGAAACCAAACAAAAAACAAATTTAAGATTCAGCAATTATTTCAATTTGAATAACTAATTTTAATGTGTTGCACTGACGGAATTCGAACCTGGGACCTTCTGAAAGCTAACAAATAGTAGCACACTTCTCTGCACACCCAGCTACTGGCGAATATGTATACATGTTTTCAAATGCTTAGTTTGAACAAATATTTTAAAATTATTGTTTTGAAATAAGATGATGACATTTTTAGGATACGAAAAATTAACAAATATGAAAATCGTTTTCTGAACATTTCCGGAAACGAAAAATGCACGAAAACTGCACTTTCGGCAAAAAGTACGTTTCCACTAAAAATCGCACTTTTATCGCTTTTTACTAAGACTAATATTTGGAATAGTTTTTTAGATTTTTGCAATTCAATTTTGCGCGTTTTAACGCCATGCGGGTTCACTAGTTATCTCTATTTAAGTAGTAACCTCTTTTTAAATGACTACATTTCATTAAACTGTGGGAAAATATTAAGGGTATTCAGACTATTCTCGTTAATGTATTAATTCGTTATCTTGTAACTCGGCAACACTTTCAACTTCGAACGAACATTATTCTTTTTCTGGTTAAAATTACTTTCGAATCAGCTGACGTAAAGTTTTTTTAATTATAAACATTTATTAATTCCATGGCAGAAAGGTTTATTGAACTATTGATAAACTGTATGCTCTTTTCGCAAATAAGCGACAGAAAGAAATCAGCCGACATTTTAACGCGTATGTTACCACATTATCAGACTTGTCACATCGTTAAGTTGGTAATGATATATTCGGTAATTTACAAAAACAAAACAATGGTGGGAGTTAATTAAGACCTTAACGAGTATAGTCTGAATACCCTTATTAGCAAATCAAAAGAAGTTGTAATTTTTCTCTATAGAAGCTTTTACTTCATGCATAATTACTTTGCAGCAGTCACAAGGAGATATCCCACCAGTCACAACTTTAAATATTTTTTATTATTTCTATGAAGATTATATAGGCCTCATTTTTATTGAAAACGACAGCGTATAATTCATATTTTTTAACACAAATACATCGTTCGTGAATATTAAGTGTTTTGGCTAAAATTCATCTTTGAGTGTACAAAGGAAAATAGAGTTCTTTTCAGTCCCTTTAGTCACATTAGTTATCGTTCTATGTTAAAAAATATCTTTCGGCGACATAGTTAAAATTCACTTTTGATCAGATTCTGGGGTAAAATGTCCCTTTAGTCACAATGGAATGGCCCAGAAATGGTATGGAATTCTTAAATCTCAATATTTTTCGATCAGAATACTTTATTTCTCTTCAGGAGACTTCCAATAATAACACCCAATTTTTTGTTCAACCATTTTTTAATGGTAACTATGGAACTACATATATGGAAAACTTTGAGCGCTGTGAGCCACCTTTAAATCTTTTTTGATTTACCTATTCAGGCTATGCACATTTCTAGGGAGTGAGACTGAACATTCACATTTATTTTTCTCCATATAATTAAGGGTCACCCTAATGTTGATATGTATACAGACAACATAAAGCGAACATACGTTTTTTAGAATTACAAGAATGTATTTTATCGAATTTAAAGCATATACATACATACATTATGTAGTTACACACACTCAAAGTTATCTTCTTATGTCTTTTATTCTTGCTTTCATTAATACATCTGTGTTGTGTTTTTTATAATCGTCCCAATAAAAATTGTTGGTTTCAAAAAATGGTCCAAAATACACGTTGATGATGATTTATTTCTTTAATTTGAAAAATATGACTTAAAGTAATTTAAAGTGGGAATACTTTCGTTGCTACCACTAAATGTAAGTTCAAAGTAAGAAATACATATTTCAATAAGTATTTCTGCTTTTTGTTGAATCGGAGTTCATATGAATTTTGTTCTGGCTTTTGTGACATACGGATTTCTATACACATTAAACCCGAAATTCATCAAAAATAAAATGAATTTGAATGATTTACAAACAGAACTTTTTTATAAAGCTTTTAAATCCATTTTATTTATGAATGTGTTTGTAGTAAATGTATTATATTTTTCGAAGCCTTAAAAAGTTCGATATATTCTTCGTCTAGACAAATATACGTTTGTTATTCCTGTTATATTGATGCCTATTATTGATAACTATTTACGTTCATCTGTATATTTCAGTATATAGTACTTCTCACAAGGTATTCAAAATGTAAAGTATACTTTCTTTCGTAGGATGCGGGAGCCGAAAAAATTAAGTTTGTATTTTTTTAAATTTATTAACGTATATGGATAATGAAAAAATTGGAAGATTGAAAATCTTAAAGTTTCCATTTTAACATGATAAAACTTGAAACTAAAATATATTGCCCTTTATCGCTATGACTTGAGAAAGTAGCTATCAAAATCTTTCCTTTTACGTATTTAGGATCCACATAAGAAAAAGCATCAAGTCAATATTCAATCCAAGTTAAAACCTCATTGAATTTACATAATTTTGTGAATATTTGTTACCTATGCATATTTTATCAAAAAACTGTCTGCACTTTATGCTTTCTATAAACGGATTCTTACCAAGTATGTCTTTTTTGTGGGCTCACGTACAAATATTTGTCAAAGCTTAAATGATCAAAGCATGAATACTAAACCAGAACTAAAATATTTAAGTAAATAATAAATATGCAAACGCATACTTTTGGTCAACTAATTACGTTAGTGACTTTTGACCAGCTTTGGCTATTTTTCTTTTGTTAATGTTTATTATTTCTTATAAAAGTCATAAAAGAAATTTCGATTCTACTTTATATTGGAAGGAAATGTGTTGTCCATTAGCAAAAAAAAATTTATAAAAATCAACACGAATTCTTAGTCAACTGAAACTTGCTCTAAAATTCATTGAGGAATAAATCTGCATACATAAAAAGTTTCTAAACAGTTTGAAATTTGGGTCAAATTTTTTTGAATTTTTATAATTTTTGTACAAAGTTTGAATTATGGATTTATATGGTGCTTGTTATGTAATGAGCTAGACTTTTACTAAAAATAATAAGCATTAAAAGAAAATTAGCCAAAACTGGTCAAAATGTTTGTTAATTAGTTGCACACAATATGTAAATGTCATGTTATATAATAATATTTTGCACACTGGTTGTTAGTTTTAATAATCGATTCGATTGCTATTTTTTACGCAGTATAAAAATTTTAAATTAAACGAAAGTATTGAAATCGATAATTTAAAATAATGGCAAAACAAAAAAAGTAAGAATAAGTAAAAAGACTTTCATGTTAATGGTTATATGCTGCATAAGAGCAAATAATTTGCGTGTTACCAATATCTAGCGCTATTTTGCATATAAAATTACTCGAATGGCTGTTAACATAAAAACTGGCAGCTCAAACCTCAGCATTCGCGTTATCGCCGTTTGCTGCCTCCCCAGTGCTGGCAGTTGCTTCGTTGTCATCAGCAGCTTTCTCAGCCTCTGCGCCATCCTTTTTCTCCTCAACAGTCTCTTTATTTTCCTTGTTCTCATCATCTTCTGCTTTTGTTGCTACTTTGACTTCACCGTTTTCCTGTTTTAGCTCTATTTGTGCACTAGAAACAGCTGTCGTGTCGGCTGGTGCCAATTTCAAGAACTGTTCCAACGTATCTATCTCATTGGCCAAGTCAAATGCATCATAGTCACCACAGTATTCTTCTTCGTTGAATATTTGCGGTGGCAGTGGGTGGCGCGGATCAGTGTCGCTAACTGTCGCTCCATTGCTCGTCGACTTCGTCTGCATTAATTCCTTTTCGCTTTCTTTTCCTGGCTCAGTGATGTCCACTACGTCGTACTTGATATTTTTACTGTCAAGGATCATCAAAACACGCTGTTGGCGTTTCTTCACCTATCAAAGAAAAAAGGAAAATATAATTACTAGGGTGATTGACTCGGATTTTCCAAACCGGTTTCCACCGGGTTTTTGGATCTCTATAGGCGATTTTTTTAATACTGATTTTTCGAATATCAAATAAACCGGATTCTTTTCGTTCGTTTTTTTTTTTAATATTTTTATTGAGCTTTGTACCACGATTGTTAATTAGGAAAAATTGAAAAAGCAACAAAATCTAGGCGGTAGAAGTTATAGCAGCTATTTCGGAGATCACCACATCTCCTCATCAGACTTCTTTTTTCTAGACTTCAGCAGAGATCGAACCTGCGTAATCGACGTTGTAGCGGCTACAACAACCCCGCCCAGATTGGTTAGTCCCTCAATCGTTGTCGGCAAGCTCCACTAACGGCAGCCCTAGGAAGCGTGCAGCCTCGACGGGGTCTGTCCATAGGGACAGGGGCGTTAGCGTGGTGGGGTTTAGAGGGCATGCGAAGAGATGCTGTGAGTCATGGTGACTCTCCGCATGCCGGGCATTCATTTGGAATACCTTCGCTTAATCTGCTCAGGTATGACTTCAACCTGCTGCAGTAACCAGACCGTAGTTGGGCTATTGGGGTACGAGACTCTCGCGAGGCAGACGAAAATCTGTCTCGTCCACGTCTGGTGGTTGTGTGCCCAGAACGGCATTCACAGGTCGGAAGTCTACATAACTCGAGACTGCCTCTCTGTGAATGCCGTTCAATGCCTGTCGATAGGCTGCGGGTCCAGAGGTTGTTTGATGAACCTCTGGACTTCGTCCGTCAGTTCGTAGAGATCTCTCCTGACGTGCCTGTGCAAAGGCTCTTCTGCAAGGAGTTTCCTGTTTGGATGGCCACATCTGTGGCTCCCAACCAGGAACTGCCTGCAGAGCATTATGTTATGCTCCTTAACTGGGAGCATGTGGGCCACCTCGTGCAAGTGGTGTTGCGGCGACATCAGGAGGCATCCTGTCGCTGTCCTAAGTGCCGTGTTCTGGCAAGTAGGGTTCTGAACAAAGGCGAGAATTTTACATAGTTAGTTTTTGGAAATTCCAGGTAGAATAAACAAACACGACGCAGAATATGAGACGGAACGTTTAACTCTAACTTATCCAAAAGATTAGGACAATCCACTGTGCCCTCCAATATTGTGTTCACAAAAGAGGCTGCGAGGAAAGAAAGTCTAGTATTTAACGAACTTAAATGGTGCAGTTGTATCTGTGGTGCGATCTGTTGTGTCTGTGGTATTGTGTTGTGGTGTGGTTGTGTGTGTGTTGAGTTGCTCAGGCGGACTCTATTGTGTCGTGGAGGCAGCACGATTGTCGCAGCAAGGGGCTACGTACGCAGTGGTACATTGCCTGTGAGTCGTGAGGCCTGAGCAAACCAGGCGATGGCTCCACCCATTGCATGTATTGCATCTGACGGAGGTGCAGTTGTAGTGTAATCGTCTCTGGCACACGCAGCAGGTATATGTTTCTGGTACAGGGTTTGACTCAATGCCAGCCCTGAGCAGAAGTATGCTAAGAAGAAGTAGCCCTATGGACGTACAACTTTTGAGGGATTTCGCCGACCTAAACGGGGTTAGATCGCCGAAAGAACAGCCCTTGGTTGGATACAACCCGAGTCATTTCGGTACGAAATTAACTACTCGTATTAAAGAATATTTTGATTATAGAGTATCCGTATTACCAAGTTGATGTAAATATGGTGAACTTGACGTTGCTGATGTAGCACCTGTAAGACGCCGCTTTAAGTGGCTGCATGTGTCCTCCTATCGGAATACAGTCTCTGCTGCTAACATTATTGATTATATTGTGAAACACGCTAACATAGACGTGAAACTAGTAGCATGCTATAAATTAGTAAGGTGGGATTCCGATATGGATTCGTTGAATTATGTCAACTTCAAGCTTTGTGTTAGTGGTGATGACTACAAGCAAGTGCTGAAGCCTGAGTTATGGCCGGCTAAGGTGACCTTCTTTTTTTCAAAAAGACGGGAAACAAACACAGCAAGATTAGTTGGCTCAGCGCCTATAATAAATTCCTAGTATCACCCCAGTATTTAAAAGTGGCAGTAAAAGCGATATTAAGAATTATAGGCCAATTTCAAAGCTATCGTCAATCTCCAAACTATTCGAATGCATTAGTCCTTCTTACCATTTAGCTAATACCGTTCTCAAATCAGTTGATGTGTTTAAAGACTTAGGAGTGTTTTTTGATTCCAAGTTTAGTTTTAATGCGCTTATAAATTACACCATCTCAAACTCTCTCGCAATGCTAGCTTTTGTTAGACGACATTCTACTCAATTTTCTGACCTGTACACACTTAAGACTTTGTTCACTGCCTTTGTACGGTCTAAACTGGAATACGCCGCGTTTATCTGGAGACCGTATCACGCTATTCACATCAATCGTTTGGAGAGAGTGCAAAAAATATTCCTACGCTTTGCTCTGCACACTTTACATTTTTCTGAACCGATTCCACCTTACGAGTCGCGTTGCCAATTGAATGGTTTATTAACATTAAACAATAGACGCTCAGTACTGTCCGTGTCATTTCTTCTTGACATTGTCTTGAGTAAAGTCGACTGCTCCTCCCTTCTTGGGTTGATAGATTTCACCGTGCCGAGTAGAAACATTCGTGGCTTTGATACTTTTCGTATTGGTTTAAATAAAACAGTTTACAATGCAAATGAACCCATTGTCAGGGCTTTGACTGAGTACAACTGTTTCTCAAAATTTTTGGATCTTGGCTTGTCGGAATCAAAATCAATTATCTATACTAAATTGAAAAACTATTTATTGTGCAAAAATTTAGAATAGCCTTTATTGTATTTACTCTTAGTTCCTTTTAACGCTTCAAATTGTACCAAAAATTTAACTACATAGTTTGTAATTTTTCATGTCTACCATTTACAACTTCAGACATTAAATAAATAAATAAATAAATACTTTTATCCATTCCCATTTATTGAAGGCTAGGGTTTGGTCCCAAAATGTAAGGAAATAATTTCATTAAATTTCTTGGTATTTGCTCTTTCAGGCTGGTACCAGCCTCGAACTAAAAAAAAACAATCGAAAAGGTAATTTCAAATGTTAAGCTTATAGACATAGNAGGAAATAATTTCATTAAATTTCTTGGTATTTGCTCTTTCAGGCTGGTACCAGCCTCGAACTAAAAAAAACAATCGAAAAGGTAATTTCAAATGTTAAGCTTATAGACATAGCCTCTTTGTTGAACATACATATCTACTAATTACACACGTATTAGGATATCACTTCGGTCTGCTCCATACTTCATGAATCCCGAAATGGTGGCACGTAGGCAGAAAGTTGTGATTCATGGCGATTTACTGTGATTGTAAAACAATGGGTGCACATACAAAAATACACACATATGTATGTACATAAGTACCTAAATGCATAGGTATGTGCATATGAACATCCATATATGTATACTCATGTAGATATCTATGTACATACGTACTTCTATCAAGACCTAAACTAAAATGGTGATATGGACGATCTTTTAATTAAAATACGTATAATGCTGCGCTTCAGGTATACTCAAACTCAACTTCTTATGGCATTATGCTTTTAATAATCAAGTAACAGGTGGCATTAAACAAAATAACCACAAAGATGCGGACATTAGTATATCTTTGAGTGTTGAAAAACCTCTACCAATACTTTTACGATCCAAGACAAAATATATTTTGTATTTAGCAAACGCTAGCGCCAATACATACATATGTATGTACTACACTACCTCACTGCCCGCCCACTGAAACTCGACCGCAACGCTTATAACGATTAATTTTGTTGCATATTGCATACCATTCTCTCCGCTTAGTACATCTTATAGCTCGTTCTTTAAAATATTCGGGCATGTCGACCGATTGCCCTTATGCACTAACCAAAAAATCTTCTTCAAACAACGCATTGTGAAACGATGGACAACTACCTTTTATTCGCACATTCTGTGCAACTGGCCCCACCCGCATACATCTACATATCCCACTTATTTTTTCAATAGCCGCAACTATCATTAGCACAATATTACATACTTACTTCCTTGTTACCGGACATTCCGCTAACGTACACCTTCAACACCATTTTTACGAGTTTAAATTCGTTCAGCAGCTAAATTTATTGCAAATATTTTTTTAGATAACTTTCAATCGTAGTTCACTTCTTTCTTTGTCGTTTCTAAAATCTCAACTGCGACTCTGTCTCTACTTGCTTGTTCACCTTCGATACCTATTTTTAATGCGTAAGCAATAAAACTACTACCAGCTTTTGTTTGTCGTGTATAGTTATTGGAACTCGTTTAATTTTATTTTATTTCACTCGAATAAATATTGACTTTGTGCTATTTTTACAAGCTTTTTTCTTATTGGACTTCTCTGATTTATGACTTTTCTTTCCGGGCAGAGGTACAAAAAAATCGATTCTGGCATCGGTACATCGATTTTTTTAATTTTTTACACAACATCGATGCCCGTTGGGTGGAATCGATAAAAATCGACGAAAGTTCCTTCACCACTTGTAAAAGTGAAGGCGCTACGGGTATTGTCTCACGTTCAATATGGATCACGATCATGATCCAACTACACAAGATCTGACAAGATGAAGCAAAAGAAAAAAGTANTAAAATCGACGAAAGTTCCTTCACCACTTGTAAAAGTGAAGGCGCTACGGGTATTGTCTCACGATCAATATGGATCACGATCATGATCCAACTACACAAGATCTGACAAGATGAAGCAAAAGAAAAAAGTAATTTTCTAGCTGACGTTTGTAATTTTGGTGCCATGTTATTTTTTTTGAAAAGTAAACAAAGAATATGACGACGAAGCATAAAGAAAAGCAAGCAATTTTGCCGCACATGTTTGTGCTAACCAAATTATTATTTTGTACATATTTTTGCCACCAATCACCGCGCACTTCCTTTCAATTACATTTGCACAAAAAATTTATTGCAAATCGCTTAAAAATCACTGAAATAAACCACCGACAAACTAACCCCGTTTAGGTCGGCGAAGTATCTCAGAAGTTGCTCGTCCATAGGGCTACATTCGCATACGTATTCTTCTACTCTTGGCCGGCAGAAATCTACACCTGCTGTATATGCCAGAGACGACTACACCACAACTCCACCTCAGTCAAGTGTAATGCCTGCGAGGGGTGGAGTTACCTTAGAGTCTGCTCAGGACTACGGACACATCAGCAGTGGACCACGTCGTACGCCAACAGAGCAGCCTCCACGGCTAACCTCAGTCCACCTTAGCAGCCTCCCACAGTCACCACAGCACAACAACATAATAACACCACAGACCATACCACAGCCACGACAGACCACAGAACACAAATAATCGCACCACTACCCACACGCCGCCGCCAACAACTCCTGGTTCCTCCTACAATCTGCACGGTATGTCAGACCAGGATATTCCGTAATGTGACATCAGTCAAGTGCAACACCTGCCTTGGCTGGTGCCACTTTAGGGCATGCTCAGGTCTGCGTACCACGCGAGATTGGACGAGGAACTTCGAGGGCCCGTGTTGCGCTGCTCGGTCGCAGACCTCAACTGCGACGCCTCCCGCCACCACCACAGGGCGGCAACCACCTCAGCAGCGCACACAGCCAACGGCGTCACGACCACACACATCCCTCACACCCCGCATCACCACACGTCTCCCGAAGCTCCTTCAGTTTAACTGTAACGGGCTTCAGAGCAGGATCGTCTTCATGGGAAGACATGGCATATTGATAGCTGCGGTCCAAGAGACGAAGTTGCACAGCAATTNCGGCAACCACCTCAGCAGCGCACACAGCCAACGGCGTCACGACCACACACATCCCTCACACCCCGCATCACCACACGTCTCCCGAACCACATGAAGCTCCTTCAGTTTAACTGTAACGGGCTTCAGAGCAAGATCGTCTTCATGGGAAGACATGGCATATTGATAGCTGCGGTCCAAGAGACGAAGTTGCACAGCAATTCAACACTGTGTGTGAACACCCTCGTTCTGGGCCTGGAAGAGCCCCTGCACATACTCAGCATCTTGGGAGGAACACCGAGATAGTGTGCACCAGCGGGATGTCCTCCCCCCTTTTGGTGCATAGCCCGGGTCCCTTCCGCTCCTCAATAACCGGTGCCTCCTCTGCCAGCCAGGCTGCAATCCGCTCATCCTTGCAGTCCGCAAGGAGCATGCCTGACCTGAAATAAACCCCACAGTACACCAGTGGGTGTTTCCACCATTTTAGGACCTATTCCATAATAGCATCTTGGAGTCCGGTTAGGTCCTCAGGACATAGGGCAGCTGCAGGGCAGCACAACCACCCAGATGTCTTTAAGAGCATCAGAATAGCTGGGCTGCTGAGTGGTTCCCGCCTGAGGCCGACCCTGGCCGGCAGTCCCATCCAGGCCCCAGACTCTGTTTGGGGACGGTGGCTCAGGTGGTGTGACCTGTAAGCTGGTTCGTTTAGCTGGACCTGTGTAGTAGCTGTTAGAGTACCNGGATGGGAGGCCGACCCTGGCCGGCAGTCCCATCCAGGCCCCAGACTCTGTTTGGGGACGGTGGCTCAGGTGGTGTGACCTGTAAGCTGGTTCGTTTAGCTGGACCTGTGTAGTAGCTGTTAGAGTACCTTTGGGTTCCCCGCTTCTCCGCCATTGGGCCGGCACGGGTCTCTGTTGCTGTTTCCCGTTTCTATGCTTTTCAGCTATAGCGTTTACGTATGCCTTTTGCCGCGCCGCCCGAAGAGTCGCAATGGCCGAGTGGTCAAAGCATTAGGCTGCCGGTCGAGAGGGTCCGGATTCGAGTACTCCTCGGGTGTAGAGGATTTTTTATTTTTTTAGTATTTTTTTCATTTTCTTACTTGTTTTATTTTTTTAATAATCTTTAGATTTTAATGTAAAAAAAAAACATTTTTTTTCAATGGATTCGTATATTAAAGCATTTTGGTTTATTTCCTAACGAAATTCTATTGACCAAATTTCCCCGCTTCATATTCGCTTTTTTTTTTAATAAAATGGAAAGCAATTAACTTTTTTTCCATATTTTTATTTTTGAGACCTGGGGCCGAATCACGTGTCTCGTGATCGAGTAATATTTTTCGAAATTTTCTGTTTTGGCATCACCGCATTCGTGATCGAGTAAAATTTATCGAAATTTGGCATCACCCCATTCGATATCGAGCAGACGTTCGAGTAGAATTATTCAAAACACCATTCGACAGTAAATTTTGCATCGAGAAGTGGAAAATTAAAATAAAACAACAAAATGTGAGTATATTTCTAGTAAAAACTGTCGCAAACTTTAATATCTTTTTATATTTAAGGACAAACATAAACCAAATCAACAAAAAACAAAAAAGTATTATGGCGGAATATATATATGCAGGAGCACCCGGATTTGGCCAGAAATATTCTGTCAAATTGCGCTCAAGGAAGAACCGTTGCTCAAAGTTTGTGGGAGCAACTTTCCTTAAAATTAAATTCTGCTGGTCCGCCTATAAAAGAACTTAAAATGTGGCGTAAAGTAGGTTGTTTTGAATTTATATAATCGGAAGTTAGTGTATTATTTGGCTTAAAATTGTAGGTATTTGCAGACCAAAAGCAGCACATTAAAAATAAGCTGTCTTTTAATAAAGCTTCTAAGCAAAAGACCGGAAGTGGGCCTTACCAAGAAAAGCTTTTTACGGCGTCCGAGGAGCTGCTGCCGCAAAAGCGATAACGTAGCAGCTAATTGCAAGACGGAGGGTACTGATGTGGACATATGCCCCTCAAACTCATGCTCCGAAAGCACGTACTCGAACGCAGGTTTTGACAGTCGGAAACGTTTTTGAATCTGCAAATAAAGAACTTTAACGTATGAAACAAATACCTACTAGAAAGGTTAGAATAATTAAAACTTACGCTGCTGCTGGAAACTTAAGGGATTGCTTTTGTCACGTAATCCTCTCCATATCTGCACTTGTCTGACTTCATTATCAGAATAAGACGACCTTGAATAAAAAAATACTGAAATATTCATTTTATAATAACTGATATGAATATTTTATTTCTTGTTTACGTTTGAGAAATGGTTAAAGATGATACATTTACTAATTGGCAACCGATTAATAATCGAAGAAATTTCGCTAGCTTGCGAATCGTTGCCATGATTTGCCTATTCGATTCGAACGAAATTTTACTCTACTCGACCGGTCACTCGTTCACGAGAGCCGTGATTCGGCCCCTGCTCTTACCAGCTGACAAATTAGTGACTTTTTTTAGACTAGAGTCGCGAGACGGCGTACTGAATACCAAATAGTCTAAAATCCAAGTTCACCACCAAAAAGTTACTATTAGTGACTAGAGACCGCTTACAGAATGCCAGGGTCAGTCTCATCTCAAATCACTAAATTTAGATAGCAATTAGTGACTATTTTTGTGACTTGAGATGATTTGGCTATTCAGTAGGAGAGAGTCACAAAAAGTTCACCAAAAATGTGTGGTGAAAACAAACATAGACAGTCAACTGATAGCGTTTATGTATGCCTTTTGCCGCGCCGCCCGAAGAATCTGAATGGCCGAGTGGTCAAAGCATTAGGCTGCCGGTCGAGAGGGTCCGGGTTCGAGTAATCCTCGGGCGTAGGGGATATTTTATATATTTTTTTATTAGTTTTATTTTTTTTAAATAATCTTTAGATTTTAATGTTAAAAAAAATATTTTTTTTTCAATGGATTTGTAAAGCATTTTGTTTATTTCAAAACGAAATTCTGATTGAACAATTTTCCTCGCTTCGTATATGCGTTTTTTTGTTAATAAAATGGAAAGCAATTAACTTTTTCTCCATATTTTAATTTTCGAGACCTGCTCTTAGCCAGCTGACAAATTAGTGACTTTTTTTGAGACTAGAGACGTGAGACAGCGTACTGAATACCAAATAGTCTCAAAATCCAAGTTCACCACCAAAAGTCACTATTAGTGACTAGAGACCGCTTACTGAATGCCAGGGTTGAACAGTCTGCACACGGTTCGAATAGCTTTAGGCGCGTATACATTTTTTTTATGCAGCAACGATTCCTCTACGCCTTAAGATCTGCACACGAAGCAAGCAGTTAGTCTGTTCCTTTGAACTTCGGACTAAAACCTGTGGAACTGTCAAACTACAATTTTACGCTCTCAAATGAGAGTAAAAGGAGAACAGATGCAGAAGTGCATAGGAACGCAAAAAGCACTATTTCCTGTAAAAACGTCAGACGGTTTGTTTACATGTCATTGGTACTACACTGATTTGGCTGAAATATCACTAAATAATTATTAAAATCTATACATATTCAAATATTTCGTTGTTTACTTCCATTTTTTAACAAATATAAGGTTCTTTGCTTTCACCGCTTTCTGTTTTTGTTTGCACATGTAAATCAGCTGATCGTTTGACACTTTTCATGAACTTACAGGAAAAAAAACTCCGGACTAAATCCTGTAACTTCTGACTAGGAACAGTTGCTCAGTTACTCTCTCAAATGTGTTCCCACTTACAGGTTTTATGTCAATAGGAACGACTTCCTGTAAGTTCTGACTAAATCCTGTAAACGGACTGCTATTGGAACAGACTAGTATTTTCTGTTACCATTTTGACTCGGCACTAACTGGTTTTGGAACTGTCAAACTACAATTTTACTCTCTCAAATGAGAGTAAAAGGAGAACAGATGCAGAAGTGCATAGGAACGCAAAAAGCACTATTTCCTGTAAAAACGTCAGTCGGTTTGTTTACATGTCATTTGTACAACACTGATTTCGCTGAAATATCACTAAATAATTATTAAAATCTATACATATTCAAACATTTCGTTGTTTACTTCCATTTTTTTTACAAACATAAGGTACTTTGCTTTCACCGCTGTTTGTTTTTGCTTGCACATGCAAATCAGCTGATCGTTTGACACTTTTCATGAACTTACAGGAAAAGAAACTCCGGACTAAATCCTGTAACTTCTGACTAGGAACAGTTGCTCAGTTACTCTCTCAAATGTGTTCCCACTTACAGGTTTTATGTCAATAGGAACGACTTCCTGTAAGTTCTGACTAAATCCTGTAAACCGGACTGCTATTGGAACAGACTAATTTCTTGTACGTCATTTTGGATGGCACAATAGGTTTTCTAGAGAACTGCATACAGGCCTTAAGGGAAGACCCCTAGTAGGAAAAATACAGCGATTTGTTTCTTTTATTCGATACATCGAAAAATACATCGATACATCGACTATTTATAGATCGACGATAATTTTCAATGCATGGAAGCACGATGTTTTTCTGACATTCCTAGTTCTAAATTAAATAAATTTTCGTAAACCATATCAGAGCGAATTCATCTAATGCATTCATTCTTTCATGTGAATTCTTAAGTACATTGGTATTGCAAATTTGTAGTTTTTGTATATGTAATTTTGTTAATACCGCTGCAGGTATAAGCCGGGCCAACTAATTCTCCATCCTGTGCAAACAGTTTAGGAGTACTGTAATACGAAAAAGAATGCTCTTGAGATTTTACGGTTTGGCCATAACAAAGATACACCCACCAATGCGAATGTTTTGCGTAAATGGTTCTACGAAATTGCATGTTCAGCATAGCCTGGATGAAAATCAATTTTTTGTGGATGTTGGATCCCTCCGCGCATATCTTGATTATCAAAAAGAAGGAAGGCGCATGCGAATTCTTCACACAGAAGTGCCTTCTGCTCTAGAAGGCCGCGGGTTGGGGAAGTTTTTGGCTAAGGAAGCTTTAGAATATGCCGCCAAGAATGATCTTAATCTAAAGGTTGATTGCGAATTTGTACAGCACTACATACATAAATACGAACCGAAATATATCAAGCTAATGAGCAAGTGAATCCAAATGTAGAATACTGGAATTATTTATGTTCAGTAATTTTGTTCTCAGACGGGTCTCATACGAGACTTTTTATGGGGACGATCCAGGGCTTCTCCGTCGTGACCCAAAGCATCACACGTATTGGTTGTTGCTGTTGTAACAGCATACAATTTCCCAAAGAGGCTTTATAAATTGACAGTCCTTGGCCAGATATAAATCGGGGTAATTCGGATTACGCAGTCTTGAATGCGGAAAGTCGGGGAAACGTTAACTGTTTTCCCTGAATGTCGTCCATACTGTAGAGGAGAACTGTAAATTATAAATAAGACCATGAGCAATAAACATTTACATGAAGACACACTAAAACATATTTCTTCAACGCCAAAGTGTCCATTTACTTCATGCTACCATTACGAGTACGAATATGTAACTGGTTTGTCAAACCTTTGGGTAGCTCTATAAGCCGCTCGGATCAATGCGTTTTCAGCTAAACACATCAAATTCGAATTATATATTTAATTGTTTTATTGTTAATTTTCACTTTTCTTGATTTTACTAAAATATCTTTTGACGAACGTCTCTCCAACAATCAAAGGTACTACTAAACTTGCTTCCGCATAAAGTTTCACTGGTGTGGCGTCCTTTCGTATCTTACCCCAGGATATAGCTTCGTCCGGTCGGGCACCACTGTCACTGCCATCAAATTCAGAAGCAGTGTTAACGAAAACTGAGAAGTCAGCACCATTTCTCATCAAATTTGCATTGCATATATGATGCTTAATCACACCGCCACCAATTATAACCATTCCGGACTTTTTTGCTTTTACGGCCATTGTATTTAAACGTCGCAAATCGGATAAAATATCTACGACTAACCCAGGGTGACGAAAAGAATGAAAATACATCATATCACCGAGACTTCCATCAGTAAGGGCGGGACAGAATACTGGAATTTTATGCTTGGCAGCCCAGTAGTATATTGAGCTGGTATCGTTAATCCGTTCACCTAGCCGGCATATTATACGTGATGGTGACCAAACCATTCCTTTAGTTTTCTGTTCTTCGACCATTTCGTTTAGTAATGGCATCACCCAATCTTCAAATTTACAGTAGTTGTCATTCGGTACCAGCAAGTTGCCTATCCTATTTATACCACGCTCGCGTAAATCACGGCCAGATAATTCAAATGAGCCCATATATGTGGGCGCAAGGCATTTAATAAAATCCTCTTCAACTCCTCCGGCAGTCGTCACCACACAATCCACCATTTGATGTTCAATTAGAAACCGTAACGTTTCACGCAGACCCGACGAGACCAGATTGGAAGTGAAACCAAGAAAAATCGTACAACTGTGCTTCCTTTTTATAAATTCATCTGATTCATGTAAATCTTCCTCGTCTGATTTAAGCTGTTCTTCCCTGCAATCAAGCTGTCAATATTTTACCGCTTTCTGTTACAACTGAATTAAGGCAAAGTGTAAAACCTACCATTTTATTTATTTCTCCTATTGCCAACCCAAGGTTAGTGGCTTGAAATCCTGTATGAACATATGATTGCAGTAACTTGGAGTAATCAACTCCTTGGTTCCAATCGTATCCATGGACGATAGAAGTACCATCGGGAATATTTTCACTTCGCTTTAGGACAGCTTCTTTGGCAATGTCGGGTTCAGAAGACATTTTTAATTCTATTTCTGGAAATTCTAATATTCAAGCACATACAGCGTGAATTATATCCAACTTTGTTTTGATTTTGATCTACTAGAACTGGGATACTATCGATAGTTGAATCCTATCGTCATTATCGATAGTGTTTGAAAACTATTGATGTCGGTTTTTAGCGCAATAAAAGTATGATTACATATAAATATGGTAATTCTCTAGTATAGGGCCATTTTCCCAGTCATTAGTTAACTTAAAAAAACAGCTGTTTTTAACTGTTGGCTAACTAATGGATGTGCATTAGCACAATATGACCAGTAGACAACCTTGGGTGAATTTGGCGACTGCCATCCTCGGGGATGAATATGCCCGGGATGAAATTATAGGTACATAGCATGGTACCAAGGCACATTAAACAGGTAGTATCAGCAGAGCAAAAACAACATTTGCGTGTATTTTGTTTTTGCTTCTGGTATCGAAAGTGTCAAAAACTGTTCTGAATTTTTTCTTCTAAATCAAAGCCTGCCATGTGAAATACAAAAAATTATAAAAAATAAAAAATTGAAATTGGAAAAAATAAAAATTGATGCAACTTTCTTTCCTAGTAAATTTGTTTGCTTCTCGAAGCATTGATCCATCCTTTGCAAGGCCCAGTAATCAGCGGTCGTGCTGCTGAGTTGGGCGAACGTTCCAAAAGCTGCTATTCAATCGCTTGTTTTGTATGGAAAAAGGTTTCACATGCAAATGGATTTTAACAATTCAGAATTTTTGTGAGAAAAAATTAAAAATATTTGACATTTTCGAGACCAAATAATTTGAAAATAAATCAAATCAGCTGCTCTACTGATACTACCTGTTCAATGTACCTTGAATGGTACCCAATAACAAACGAAGCATCAACTTTGTTTCTGATGCGCAGATTGCGCTAGCGATGCTTTTTATTAATTTTCGGATGCGTTTTGGAAAAGTGTACATCGTCAATATTTTGTAGTGCGGCGTTATTGAACGTTAGGGAAATGTTTAGCTATTTGTACAACGATTTAGGGGTGGGGGCGGAGAGGGAGGGGGTGTGGGCCCCACGAATCCCCCCCTANTGTTTAGCTATTTGTACAACGATTTAGGGGTGGGGGCGGAGAGGGAGGGGGTGTGGGCCCCACGAATCTTCCCCTACCCGAAAGAGGACTGACGCCGCTTTATGAAAAGTCACCCCTCACCCCCAACCNTAAACGAAAGAGGACTGACGCCGCTTTATGAAAAGTCACCCCTCACCCCCAACCCCTCTCACAGACCTCTGGGGAGCTATTTGAAAATAGGGGAATTTTAGATTTTTTGCAAGGAAAAAACAAAGTTAAACTAGCGTCCGAAGAAGGGGGCCTGAACACCTTTTGCAGAGACTACCTTTCTGCGTAGGCGGCCTTCGGCCGCGCTTAGGGATTATAACCCTTACTAAGTAGAATTCTCCTTTCTGTGTTNGCGTATAAAAGTTGTTTGATTCGATTCACGCGTTTGGGCACAGCAACCCCAAATCGTTGTACAAAACCATAAACATAAACAGCAATTGACGTTTTGGAAGTCAGCCGACGTCCACAGTTGATAAAATAACCGAGTAGCAATTAGCAGTTTACCAAGTACCAACTAGCAGGTGTGAACCACCCTTATTAAAAGACAACACAATCGTACATTATTACTGAAAGCGACAACCCTATCGGTTCACTTTTTGGCATTTCTGGTTGGAAGTCAAAAGTCAAATTTGGAGAAACTCAGTAAAGAACAAATCCATAATAATCTAAAAAAATATTTCGAGTGCTGGACTATTGCAAGCTCAAGGAAAATTATATTAAAATACAATTCCTAGAACTGTAGCTTGAAATACTACGGGCGAAGCACAGAAAAAATCCGCATCATTGAAACCAACAACAACAGTGTGCCAGCGCCCTGTCTCCGACCTCGTACGATATCTTTAATTACAGTAGTAACCAGCTAGTGGACCTACAATAGAAGCGTTAAAGAGGATTGGTAGTAATAACAAATATCGAAAAATCAAGTTAACCGCAACATTTAATATTTAAGAACAAAATACGGAAGTGAAGTGCACGGAGCAGCAACAAAAACGNCAAGTTAACCGCAACATTTAACATTTAAGAACAAAATACGGAAGTGAAGTGCACGGAGCAGCAACAAAAACGTTATGATTAAGTTGTTTTCACTAAAACAACAAAAAAAGGATGGCGAACAGTTGGCCCGAACCGGGCAACAGAAGAAAGCATCAGCTGCGCAACTACGTATACAAAAAGGTAAACTTTAATACAGGAAATGGCTGTGCACAGATATTTAGACATTAATGTTGAAATGCGTGAACGTCCCGATGTACATATAAAGTGCATAAATACAAATTTCTAATAGAATCCAAATTTAGATTTACATTTCGTCACGTGAAATACAAAAAGCCGTAACTACCAAAAATTGGTTTTTGCATAAATCGAATAGGGAAATTGTTATTCGATGAAATGCACCATAATAAATCAAACAAATTTTGGATTTTTTGTTAGTTACGGACTTATGCATTTCAGGTGACGATATATAGCTTTCGCAATATCACAAGACACATTATGTTGGATAGTAAAAAGAAAATGTACCTACATATGAAAATAATGTTCTTGCTTTTGGATATGATTTTTATATGGGTCGTTGTTTAAGAGAGGGTGCATTTCAAAACGTTAAAATACAAAGCATCAGTCTTCTTTTATTTATAAACTGCTCTAGAAGAAAAAGTCTAACTTGNTGTTGGATAGTAAAAAGAAAATGTACCTACATATGAAAATAATGTTCTTGCTTTTGGATATGATTTTTATATGGGTCGTTGTTTAAGAGAGGGTGCATTTCAAAACGTTAAAATACAAAGCATCAGTCTTCTTTTATTTATAAACTGCACTAGAAGAAAAAGTCTAACTTGGGCAATATAGTAGGAAATTAATGCATACATAGTTGCATACATTTGATACAGAAGAAAATGAAATTATTAGGTATCAGCTTATTAATATTTAATTAAATTTTTCGCAAAACAATTTGAAAAAACTTACTTGACTTCTCTATCGCCATTATTTTCATGCAATATTCTATGAATTCCATACTAGAGGCGAAAGGAAAAGAATGTGTTCAGATTAGTTGCGTTCGACAAGTCAAAAATTTGTAATTGTTTTTCCAAATTTTTACTGGATGGCGTTCGATAACGACAAAAAATATCCAACACACAAAAATTGAGAGAGCAAGCGTTCATTTTGATGCAAGAGAAGCGTTCATTTTGTACTGGCAAAGTTTTAGGTCGGTTAGGTTAAGTTTAGGTCGGCAGACAAACTTTTGTTTGCCAAATTAAATGGNGTTTTAGGTCGGTCAGGTTAAGTTTAGGTCGGCAGACAAACTTTTGTTTGCCAAATTAAATGGCNCAAGTTTTAGGTCGGTTAGGTTAAGTTTAGGTCGGCAGACAAACTTTTGTTTGCCAAATTAAATGGCGGCTGCTTAGTTTGCTCGGAGGTGGTTATGTCGAGTTTGGCACAGGGTTGCACGTTCATTATGGTTTTCATGGCTATTGTCAACACGAAATGAGAATTTCAGATGTACATAACGCGCACAATTTAAAATTTTTGTATATGACAACACCGAGTTTGCTGCATGTTTGACCAAACAAAATTAGTTTGCTGTGAGAGTCGCCAAACTCGCTCTCTTTGTTGATGTTGTAGCGGCTACAACAACCCCGCCCAGGACGGTTGGTATCTCAGTCGTTGTCGTCAAGTTCCACTAACGGCAACCCTAGGAAGCGTGCAGCTTCTGTGGGGTTGGTCCACAGGGACAAGGCCGTTAGGGTTGTCGGATTTTCGAGTCATGTGGGGTCTCTCCGCATGCCGGACACTCATCCGGCACATCCTCATTCAATCTACTCAGGTAGG